TTGTATTGGCTACTACTTATGATTTGGTCTACCTGATCAAACCAACTCATCACTAATCAACAAAAAATGAAGGACTGATTAACTGAGCTTCATTTTGGTTAACATTTTCTCAGATAAAATTGTTCTAAAAATACATTAGTCATTGTGTGGTGTGAGCTACTTATAAGTAGTATATGACGTGAGTGTCAACGTAATGTCTGGCAGCAGAAGATGGGGGAACATCAAGAAAGGAAGAGTTAGAACACAATGGAATTTGTATGAAACGCATGAATAGTGGTGAGTGACAATGGATTGATGTTTTGCAACAGGAACAGTCTAGTTCGATAGGATGGACTGATAATTTGCAAATGAACAATTTACGATATGGTTTTCCAATTTTACTGAGTAACTCTGTAATTTTTCGTTAAATACAATCCGGTTGACCCACCTGTGCTCTCATTCACTACAATTGATGCTACTGACCTAATATTATAATATTCTATTATCCTCTGTACACTTAGGTATATGTACATGCAATAGCCATAAATCATATCTCGTTTAATTCCTTCTTCTTCAGCTTCTGGTGTTACTGATTCCAGTCGATTTGTTTCAAATCAAATTTTGAAAGAATTCCAAAAATTTCAAGATTTAATTCGTCGTCCTATAGCAGCAGAAATTTTACAACCAGAAAGAGAACTACTTCTTGGTTATTTGGAAGTTTCTTTGAAAGAGGTAAAAACTTTTTTTTGACAGTCATTGTTTTATTCTCTGTTTATATTTCTGATTAGCAAAATGAATCATTTTTTAATGATAACGCTGTTGCACTCTAAAGGATGAGACTTTTATTTTGTACTGGTACGGGATTACATGGTACTGCATCCACATGACATCATGGGAAGTTGGATCTACAGGTGTCTTTAGTTCTCACGATGATACTGAGCAGCCAATGATCTTTTTTTCTAACTCCAATTGGTTCTTAATGTTGTGCGACCACTATCTGTTTACTTTCGGTTACAATCACAACACAGTTGGAATCCACCAATGACGACTTCTCTAATGAGTACTTAGGAAATTGCTGTCAAAGTTAGTCATTACTATTAACACGGAAGACTATATAAGGTTGTCTTATTTAGAGTAGTTTACATCATCGAATGACTATAGCTAGACAACGGTTAAAAGTAACAATGTATCATTAAAAAATCTTAGAAAACTACATATTGGTCATACAGTATAAAAACAGAAAACCGACGGAAATGAAATAATATGGAATTTAACAAGAAGAATCGACAAAAATTTTAAACAAACCTATAGAAATTAACAGATTTTCTTAAATTTTAATGGAAGAAAGACGGTGGAGAGGTTGTATCTTTGTAACTGTGACCAATACCAACTTACGTACTGCAGATGATCCTAACCATAAGTTCGTAATACTTTGATGAATCTAATTAGATAGTTACCCCTAGATACCCTCTAGAGCTACTGCTGGTTCCAAGCCTGGATAAAAGATGAGTGTTGGGCATTGGATTAGTGAATCCATCCTGCATAAAACTAACTTGCTTAAAAAAACCCTAACCAGAAATCAGATAGGTCACATATTAATATTTTCCATCCGACTATCGCGAAAAATGATGAACCTAGTTTAAATTTCCATGTTCCTAAAGTTACCTTACGTCGAATCACCGAAACAAGGGAAAATTTGCTAGATGAATCTTCAAAAGAGTAGAAATGATAGCATCGATAGCAGGTACCAACTAATTGTGAGATATTCGTAGTCGGTGAACAACGAATTAAATCGAGTAGTCACGAGTAGTAGTCGGCAATTGGAAATATGTAACACAAGTCCCAATCACCTCAAATGACTATGTTTCAATACTTCATCTACTGATCTGCCACCCTTGCTTACTCGGTTGTCCCAGGATACGCGAGCAACGCTTCGGAGACACATATGATCGAAGACCAGCAACTTACGAATATCTTCTACGCTGACTGTCCATGTTTCGCAGCCATAATGTAGGACGGAGTGAACTGCTGCACAGTACTTTCGACCTTTGGTCAGCAAACGGATTTCTCGCTTGCGCTATAACTGACGCAAGCTGGCAAAGGCCAATCGAGCTTTCTGTATCCGTGCTGAGATTTTGTCAGTCAAACAGGCCATCGGCACTGATGAGACTACCGAGATAAGTGAAGCAGTCAACATGCTCAACTACTTCACTCCCTCTCACTAATTCAGGCGCCGACGCCACCCAATTTTGACGCAACATTGTACATTGCGACGAGGAGAATCACATCCCGGACATGCATGCATTGCATTGATTCTTCTAACCACTTTCTTCTATAAGATCATGCATTATTCTGTCTGTCGTTTTGATGAACTATAATCCATAATATTAATTTTCAGTTGACTGCCCACAAAATTCCTTAATTATTTTCTCTCCTTTTTTAAGTTTCATGAAGAATTTCTATCCAGATCAAGTTCCACTAATGCATCATCACATCAACATTCACTTCGTGAACAATCACAAAAGAAATCTTTAAAAATTATAACCAATAATATTTCCGATTGTATCAATCAAATTCTTTGGGGAGGACAATTGAAATGTCGTGTACAAGAAGATTTTACATTTGTTAAATTTTTTCTATCTGATTTACAACGTTTCAATGCATATGAACAGGTAATTGGGATGGTATTTAACTTGAACAAATAGATCGATAAAACATTAGCGTATTGAGTTATAGTTAATTTTTCTAGAGTGAACTCAGTTAAATAGCCATTGAGAACTAGGAAGCACAATGGGCTGATGTTTTGTCCTAATATGGGACCCTATAGCTGTGACTAGTGTAGTTCAACTATGTTGTTCGTTCGCTGAACTGTAGGTTCCGCGTAGGTTTCGTCTCCAGTAATGTTCTGCATGGGTACTGAGGAGGAGGAGGAATCCCATGCTAGGCCGAATAAGATCAATCTATGTGACGTGAACTATAAAATTCAACATGCTCCAAAAATTCCGTTTATTGAACTACTATTGTGGTGTGTGCTACTTATACGAACGATATAAGTAGTATAAGAAGGGACGTGAAAGAAGAAGTCTCACGGTCAGAAGAGGAAAACGGAAAGCCAATGGAGCAAAAGCAAGAAGTAAATGGAGTACCAATAGGAAGGAAAGGAAGCAACAACAGGAATGGAAGAAGGATGGAGCGTTGGAAGTCACGACTCAAAGATGGTGTGCAAATAGAGTGTTCAATGTAATGTCGCTAGCGTAATGCTAGCGTCGCGAAAGTGTGCCTGCAGAGGTTGCCCAATAGTTGAGACTGGTGAACGTGGCACAACCAATAGACGTCACCGAGCTGGCTAAAGTAACAAAACAACTGATGAACTCAACAGTCGCCTCGGTGGCGTGCGAGAGACAGGCTGATGATGTCACGAAGAATATAAAAGAATTACAACGCGAGGTTGCAGCGTTACGATTAAAGGGTGGAAGAAATAATAAATGCTATATTTGCGGAGGAACCGGACATTGGAAGAGGAATTGCCCAACAAGACGAAAACGAAAACATTACATTAAATACTCTATTTGCACACCATCTTTGAGTTGTGACTTCCAACGCTCCATCCTTCTTCTATTCCTGTTGTTGCTTCCTTTCCTTCCTGTTGATACTTCGTTTGCTTTCCGTTTTCCTCTTCTGACCGTGAGACTTCTTCATTCACGTCTCTTCTTATACTACTTATATCGTTAGTATAAGTAGCACACACCACACTATTATCCTCATTAAAGTTTTATGTCTAATAACTTTCAAGATTTACCAGGCATTAAAATTTTCAAACTTTGATTAATTTTAAGCTATCTTGTCCTTTATAGAATGAAATTAGATCACGAACTAATCGAAACTGAAGATCATTTATTTAACAAATGTTTGGTTTCATTGTGAACATTTACAGAAGTGATTAATTTCGAATAAACACAAGAGTTTAGCTATGACCATTTTTAATCTCATTCGCTTCGCAAAAAACACAGTAATTATCACCCCACTATTATAGATTGGCTCTTCTTACTTTTAGTGTGATGGTGGTCAGGCCATACTGTACTGCCGATCGAGTGAATTTGTTTCTGCTGGTCCTGTTCTGATGACTTTACTCATTTTTTACTTTGATGACTCTCTTCAGACAGATTGCTTACTTACTTACTTAAGCCTGTTACAGCCAATGGAGCATAGGCCGCCGACCAGTATTTTCCAACCCACCCCTCCTGAAGCCACACTAGGGCTACTGCCGGTCCCAAACCCGCATAAAGGAAAAGGTTTGGGCATGTGGTTGTCTACCCTATCCCGTAGAAAACTAACTCGCTAAAAAGCACTAACCAGCAAAAGTAACTCAGACAAATTACATTACTTAAAACAAATGATCATTAGAAATAGAATTTTTAAATTATCTACCACTTTTTACACACCTTTCAATAATCTTCATCAATAAACAAATAGTCAAGTTTATTTTTCATCGTTTTTCAGGAAGCGTTGAATTTAATTGAACAAATTGAAGAATGGCACAATGAACAATTTCAAAAATGGTCACGTGATAGACTCTCATCACTTTCAACAAATAAAGATTCAAATCAATCCTCGTTAGCATTTGATCTAAATGGACCCCTCTTGAATTTATCTACAGTTGATGGTCATTTAGAAGTTGGTTTTCCTGATGGTTTAGCTCAATTACAACGAGAAGTACGACTATTAGCTGGATTGGGTTATCCAATACCTTCTAAACTAATACAAGCTACAAATCAGGCTGAGAAGATATCACAATATGCAGTAATGTTGAGACAGGTAATTGATTTGACAAATAACAGGTGTTCGTGCGCGAAACTGACAGACACGGTTTTAATACAAGTTGCGGAGTCGTAGATAAGCATTGTTGAGTAGTTTTATACAACAACGAAATGGCTGTGCAGAGATTCCAGGATTTAAGTTGATGCCTCATTTAGAGTGATCTGAAATCTCCGAATCTCCAAAACTTTACATCAGCGAACGTATTGTTTAACAACCAGATTTTATAATAGGGATAACATTTTTCTAGCATCCTAATTATTCTGACGAATCCTAACTCATTGTAAACCTATTCTTCAGAGAAATATTAGACGAAGTAAATCGAAGAAAGTTTAAATAACAGGAAAGAACCAAGTAAAAATATATAGTACAAGCAATCAACCTGTTAAGATCGTTCGCAGAAGCCTCCAGACGCTCCCGAAAAGCTGACGAATTCCTATCCAATCACAACTCGATAGAATTTCTAGAATGTCGATGTGGCATAAGGTGATTAAGTGATGATGCAACATCGTACATTGAGGACTGGATGATTTTGTATAACTGTTTTCACTCAATACAAAAAAACTGAAAGTCCACACAATTACTCTGTACATTTCTGATTATTACTGGAGTGAGGATTTCTGTCTCTTCTGGCTTTTCCTTTGAGACCTGGCAGCAGTTCACGTTATTATCTTAATTACAAAAGTTCAGTTGTGTAGTAGTCGGTCCAGTAGCTTACGTAACACTTACAATGAAAAATAGGTTTGACTAATTCACTTTCAAGTCACTCCGGTCAACGTGATTCATGTAAAAATATTCTTGTGCATTTGTGTGTGTTAAAGGTGTGAAAAATGTGGCATTCACAATGTGATAGGATATATATTTGAGCAATAAATGAGCAAATAATATTGTTTTCTATTCAATAATCACAATGAAATAGATTAGGTAACTAAATATAGTAGGTAAAAGTGCAAGTTGATAGTAGAAAGACTGATGTACTGTTATTAGTGGTTACTTACTTACGTCTGTTACCTCTAATTGAACATTTGCCACCGAACAGCCTGTTGCCTATCTACTGAGTCCTGGGCCTTCCTTTCCAGTTCTATCCAACTGCTATTCATCCTTTTCATGTCTGCTTACAAATCTCGATGTAATGCGTTTCTTTGGTCTTACTCTTCTCATTTGACCTTGAGGATTCTAAGTGAGTGCTTGTCTTGTAACGCAGTTGGATGCATTCCGTAATGTGTGTCCTTGACACCTCCAGCGCTTTCCCCTGATTCCTTCCTCAGCTGGAGGTAGCTGGTTTATTCCCTCCCCCCGCGTTTATGGTCAAATTCTGCAGAACTCGTTGTTTTTAATTTTTTTAGAATGGTTAAAAGAACTAACCCTATGTAATTTGGTTTTGACTGTAGCCGTAATATATATTCAAACAAGTCAAACTGTGGTGCGCGATACATATAAGTAGTATATGACGCGAATGAAGACGTGATGTCTGGCAGCAGAAGATGGAGGAAGATCAAGAAAGGAACAGTGGGAACAATGTAATTTGTGAAATATCAGACAATCGATTGATGATTGATTGAAGATTTGCAAATTAACAGTTTACGATATGGTTTTCCTATTTTACTGAGTAACTCTGTAATTTGCGATAAATACAATTCGGTTGCCCTCACCTGTGTTCTCCTTCACTACATTTGGTGTCGCTGCCTACACAAAGGATGAAGATACCATGGCAGAAGGAATTTGAGGAAGGAAATGTGCGGAGCTTCCTGAGGTAGTTTGAGGCCGTGGCGGAGCTGGTGGGTGTGAAGGAGCTGAGGGCGAAGTTGGTGGTGCTGGGGACGCTGCTGAAAGGCAGGGCAGAGGCCGTATATGACAGCTTGGACGGTGCTGGCGGGAAGACGACGTGGAAGACGGTCACCAGGAGGCTGATGACGGAGTTCGACAGCGCAGTGGTCAAGGAGTAGGCACAGCAGGAGTTCCGGTTGGCGAGGCTGTCGGCTGACGGTGACCCGCTGGTGCTTGCTGTGGAGCTCACCAGATTGTTGCGCCGTACTCTGCCGAATATGGATGAGGAGTCGGAGGCACAGCTGTTGACGTCGCAGTTTATCGAGAGTGTGCCTGCCGTCTTGTCCCAGCATCTGAGACTAGTAAACGCAGCACGAGCTATGGATATCGGTAAACTGGCGAAGGTGACTCGTCAGCTGATGACACGAACAGTAGCTCCGGTCGGGTGCTGAAAGCAGGAGATACATACTGTTGAGAAGAAGATTGAGGAGCTGGAGCGTAAGGTTGCAGCATTACGAGTGGATCATAAAAGGAACGATAAATGTTACGCTTGTGGAGGGGCAGGACATTGGAAGATAAACGGTCCAAGAAGAAGACGACGACGATATTTTAGACATAACGTGTGTTCTTTCCACCCTAGGAATCGGGAGGTTCTTGCACTAGTAGATAAAGGGGCAATTTACGCCAGAGTGTACATAAATGAACAGGAGTTAGTGTGTTTGATCGATACAGGGGCAGCAATATCGTTAATAGGCAAAGAGCAATGTAAGACAATCAAACCATGTACATTAGCTGTCCACACCATAGGAGGGCATATGCTCGACGTGTCGGGGCTATCTAACAGTATTGTAAAAATGTGGTGAAGGAGAACACAGGTGAGGGCAACCGAATTGTATTTAATCGCAAATTACAGAGTTAATCAGTAAAATAGGAAAACCATATCGTAAACGGTTAATTTGCAAATCTTCAATCCATTGTCTGACATTTCACTATTCATGCGTTTCATACAAATTCCATTGTGTTCCCACTCTTCCTCCCTTTCTTGATCTTCCCCCATCTTCTGCTGCCAGACATTACGTTTACACTCGCATCATATACTACTTATAAGTAGCGCGCACCACAATTCTACTAATAATTTATATATTTCATATATATATATATTTTTAACAACTTTAGGTAGCTCATTTCTATAATTCAATTGATAGTGAAATGTTACCATTTCAAAAACCATTAATGTTAAATTCAGCATTGGCTTTTGAACGTTTAATTAAATCACAAAGTAATAAACAAAATTTTTCTAAAGAAAATTTATTAAATTCAATTACAACAACAACATCCGATGAAATTCAACCAGTAGTACAACAATATATTTTACAATTACAACAAGCAACACAACAGTTAATATTTGAAAATCGTCGACTACGTAAAGTACATTATATACTGATAGAAAGAGTAAGTCGATCATTTTAGTAGTGGTGTATTATTTTTCTCAAACTTTTCATTAGATGACTGAGGAGGTTGCGCACTATTGCGAATTGTTGATTGAAGTTAGACATGAACACCATTGGATGCTAGCTCGGTGGTCTTGTAGTGAACGAGAACACAGGTGAGGGCAACTGAATTGTATTTAACGAGGAATTATAGAGTTACTCAGTAGTAAAATAGGAAAACCATATCGCGTAAATCGTTGTTAATTTGCAAAATATCAGTTCATCTCATATCGAACTGAACTGTTCCTGTTGCAAAACATCAATCCATTGTCACTCACTATTCATGCGTTTCATACAAATTCAATTGTGTTCTAACTCTTCCTTTCTTGATCTTCCCTCATCTTCTGCTGCCAGACATTACGTTTACGCTCACGTCATATACTACTTATAAGTAGCTCGCACCACCACAGTCTAATGGTTAAACGTTCTAGGGCGACACCGAAGTTCCTGGGCTCAATTCCCGTAAGTGGGAGTTAGAGGATTCTCACTACTGATGAGTCTCGTTCCATGATGAAACGGTCTTCTGAAGCATCCAGGTTCCTAATGGCAGTCTAACAATAGGCCAGTTGATGAGTTCAATTGTTTTCATAGTTTGAACGTGGAGCTAGAAACCGTTCTACAAAACTGACAACCACAGAAAACTTCTATGTACTCATCAAACAAAGAAATATGGTCACTTAATTGACTTGCTTATGAGCATTTGTTTATTCTAAGTGTTTTAATCCAAACTACAAAGCACTTGAACCAGATACTGAAGATTCTTTAAGGTAATCGGATTGTTTGCTGAATTGCCTTTATAATAATAGACTGTAATAAAAAAATAGTGTTTTAATTAGGACTAAGCACGTCACGGAATACGAAAGGTGATATGAACTGACCAGAGTCCCTGTTTTTGAAAGTGACGACAGCTTATTAGAAGGGGGGACGAGTGAGGTGCGAGCTACTTATAAGTGGTATATGACGTGAGTGTAAACGTAATGTCTCTCGGCAGAAGATGGGGGAAGATCATGAAAGGAAGCTTGCTTATCAAGAGCTCAGTACTCTTCTGGTAACGACGTATCTCCCGTAAGGCGACTGTTCCACGCCTATATCTGTGGGGCTTCTTCACGCCACCGGTGGCTGGTGCACTTTTGTGTGCAGCCTTGGTAGCCAGTTGCTTGCGTGGGGCTTTACCACCGGTTGATTTATGAGCAGTCTGCTTGGTTCTTGCCATTGCGAAACCTAAATAAGGTTCCGAAATAGAGTTTCCCGTAGTTAGTTGTCAACTTATAGCTCCTAACTATCTCCTCAAGTCAGCTGGGCATTTCCAGCGTATCTGCCACTTTACATACTCTTACAATTGTTTCGAAACACGTTTTTCATTATCTCAATTCAAAGTTGTGATATGTAAATAGAGGAGGTAAATTTAAACATCAGTAGTTTATAGTTTTTTCAAAAACTGTACACAATACATTTGTTATTCTTTTATACGTCTATCTATTGAAAAGTATTGTAGAATTTAGACACAATAGATAACTACTTGCCTACTTATTTACTTACGCTTGTTTACCACCAATGGAGCATTGGCCGACCACCAGCATTTTCCAACCTACTCTGTCCTAGGCCTCCCATTCCAGTTCTATCCAATTTTTGTTCATTTTTCTCATGTCTATCTCTATTTCTCAGATTAATAAGTTCTATGGTCTTCCTCTTTTACTTTGACCTCGAAGATTCCAAGTGTTGGCTTGTCTTGTGACGCAATCGGGTGTTTTCCCCAATGTGTGTCCTAGAAACCTCCAACACTTCTTCCTGATTTCTTCCTCTGCTGGAGGAATCTAGTTTGTTCTCTCCCGCAATAGGTTGTTGCTGATGATGTCTGACCAACCGATCCGAAGTACTTTGCATAGAAAACTGTCAATAAATACTTGTATACTCTGGATGATAGCTTTGGTAGTTTTCAAAGTTTCCGCCTAATACACTAGAACTGTCTTGACATTTCTATTGAAAATTGTGACTTTGGTGTTAGTTGATAGTTGTTTTGAGTTCCAGATGTTTTCCAACTATGCGATGGAGCATTGGCCGACGACCAGCATACTCCAACCTATTCTGTCCTAAGCCTCCCATTCCAGTTCTGTCCAATTTTTGTTCATTTTTTTCCATTAATCGGCGTAAGTCATTCCACTGCCTTCCACTTTTCCTTTTACCTTGCGGGTTCCAAGTGAGGGACTGTCTTGTTACGCAGTTAGTTGGGTACTTTCCGCAATGTGTATCCGACGCATTTCCAGTGCGTCTTCCTGATTTCTTACTCAGCTGAAGGAAACTGACTTGTTCTCTCCCACAGTGGGTTGTTTCTGATGGTGTCTGTCCAGCGTATCCGAAGTACCTTGCATAAACAATTGTTAATAAACACTTATATCTTGTGGATGACTGCATTCGTGGATTGCCAACATTCCTCCTCATACTGTAGAACTAACTATCTTAACATTTCTATTGAAAATTGTGACTTTGGCTTTGATTGATAGGTGTTTTGAGTTCCAGATGTTGTTCAGCTGTAGAAATGCAGTCCTTGCTTTGCCGATCCTCGCCTTCACATCTTCATCAGATCCAACTCACTCATCAATAAAACTGACCAGATACGTAGAGGTTTTCACATCGTGCAAAGATTCTCCATTAAGTATGTTGTGTCACTCCGGTCAATGTGATTCTTAATAAAATTTCCTTCCGTATTTGTGTGTGTGTTAACTGATGTGGAAAATGTGATATTTGTAATTTGAAAAGGATATAGTTGAATATATCATATGTAGTAGAGATGTGAATGGGATTGAATTTGTCAGCTCAAACAGATGATCCATGTTCAACAGATTGTAAGGTGCTCCTAATCAGAGATGGAAGTAGGAGTTCATCGATAGGAATTGACGACATTCGACCTAACTGAACTCCACTCATCACGGCTTATCACTAGAACCTCGGAGAAGCTCCCTCACAGACTGTTAGGATATTCATCCAATATCCTAAGAGAATTATTGGTCGAAATTATGGTCGTTTTAACTGTTAAAGTCAAACACTTCAATGTTGTTTCATATTGGTTTTCCTGATTATCACTGTCACCTCAAATGTTACTTCCTATCGTTCGTCTTAACTGTCAGTGCCACAGAATTCGATGCTGTTTCCTATTCGACCAAAATGTATAAATACGCATTATCTGTAACGTTTATTGACCACGACCAGGACCAGGGCTCGTTCCCGGATCCCTAGTCCGGGATCCTGATTCTCTTCTGGATTCGGACCTCGTACTTTCTGGATGCTTGTAGAATACACGTTCTACTTCATATCACGTCTTCTTATGTTAGTTAAACTAAATATGGGGGTTGTAATAGTCGGATTTGAGTAACATGTCGTGTCACTGAACCCTCTCTCTCGTTTCCTGACTAGGTAAACTCGTAATAGTTCAAGTATATCAAGTTGACGTGTTTACGTGCAGGCGTAACACAGACCCAGTCGTTTGTGAGCACATGATAATCTTTATTATTATTATTATTATTCCAACTTTGCACAATTTAAGTGAAAATTCCTTTTTCATCAGAAACTGCCTTTTTTCAAAAAAATCCATTCTAGATCATCAAACTATTAGACATTGACTTATTGCGCAATCAATGCAAATGGAGAAATGAACTCAATGAAATGCGATATCAATTATCTGAAATCGCAACCAGTGGCAATTATCCAACTAATCATATGGCAGCATGGCGTGCATTTCTTGATTATCAATTATACAAAGTATTGGAATATCAATATAGAAGAGGTTTAGAAGAATTGAATGAACGTATGCCTGAAATGCGTGTTGATATGGTTTATTTACAGTCGTGTTTAACATTTCGTCCACCATTTGAAGAGGTTAGTGCGTGATTTTCATTCTTTTCTTTTTTTACAGGGATAATCGATGTGAGTAGTAGTACATTGAAAGTGTATTTATAGTGGGATTATGTTGTCGTCGATGTGCACTGCTGATGAGTCCCATAGTGGGACGAAACGGCCGTCCAGTGTTTCCAGGTTTCTTTCTAATTGTTAGGGACGTTGGATCCCCAGAACTCTCTTAATCACGTTTCCGAGCATGGGCCGATCAGTTGACCTTGAGATTTCATTTCCCAACAGGAAATCATTGGTTGTGATTGGCTGTTGTGTATTTTAGTGTGCTATTTTTGTGACTGTCCCAAAGAAGTTTCTATGTTGTATAAATAAACGAGAGTTGTGTGCTTGATTGTATTGTGCTTGCTGGGTGTTTGTAGAATGTACTTTCTACGCTATATCAAGACTTTTGGATAGTCATCGGATTAGGGCAGCCTACCTGGACGCTGGTTCATTGTCTCGTTCGCGTTTATCGACTAAGGTGAACCCGTAATAGTTTCAAGCATACCTAGTGACGAACCTAACACTAATGATGGTTGTCTAAAAATGATTGACTGATGTTTTCAATGGGTAAAAACACAGATACCCATAACTCTAATTGAAAAACATAAGATATCTGTCCAAATACAGTTCATGTGCAGTCATCATAACATTGAATCGTTGAACAGAAAGTCAGTGATCACATAAGTTGTTTGATGTTTTTATTAACTAACGCCTGAGATAAACGTCTAATTTACTTGAAATGAACGTTTGTTTTTTCTGCCAGCTTCCACAAAATAGTTTGACATGATTAATGTCACACAGACTTATTGAACAAACTATTTACAATAAAATGTTGAATTATGTAACTTTGTCGTGTTGTGTCTGTACTTGTTATGTCTGATTGGTGCCTAATACTGAAACCTCAAATTCAATGACAAGTATTGAGAACATAAAGATTGATAAAATAAGGACTTGTTTGACACTAAAATAAATCAACTGACATCTCGCGATACGCTATGGACAATTTGATTTATTTGAAGCCAGATTAATATTCAGAATTGTATGAAGTGAAGTGAATGGTATTTAACATCACTTTATCACTCAGTAATTTACTAAGCGCGAAAATAGATTTGCACTATCGTACTGACTGATTTTCACACTAAATTAATTTTTCCCTTTCGATCCTATCATATCACCTTCCTTTTCTGAGAATAAGTTCGACTTCTCGGATATAAGTGAAGGCGTTGGGATTAGTGAACATATGGTAGGATATTGTAAATTCATTTAAAATCGCAGCATGGACAACTGAACGTTATTTTTATAACTCAGTGATCAATCAACAATACAAATGAATATTGCATTTGTTAAATTCATTACTGGTCGAATAAAACTCATTAAATCATTACACCTGAGTAGCGTGTCCAATTGTATCAATAAGTAACCAAGATATATTTGAAAAGTCTTAACTGATGAAGTTCAACCACATTGGAAGTGAAACACACATTCATCAATGAGATTAAGTGCTGTCCTTAGTAAATCGCGATTTTGTTGAACATGAGAACATTAATATATTGACACAAAGTTCTCTAGAGGTAACTTGCTTTTCGGGGTTCGAACTCTGATCGTATGAGCACTGACGAGAAGTAAAAAAAACTAGTGCGGGAAAACTCTACAGCGACCTCTAGTTTTAAAGTGTCCTTCAATCGAAATTCGGTTAAATCAGTTTTCAGCTATTCAATTCATCGTTTTCTAAGTACACAAAATATTCCCAGTAATGCATGACCGTTTCGTCCTGGTATGGGTGAGGTTGCACAAAATGCTTAGATCGATCAGAGTTAGACATTAACACTGTTGGAGGCTGGCTCAGTGGTATAAATGTTGAACATTCGCACGCAAGACCAAATATCCGGGGTTTGAATACTGCCAGTTGCAGCATTCGGGAATGAACGCTGATGATGAGTTCCATTGTGGTGGCCGATTTCAACGTGTTCTTAATCATCGCCATTAGCTCCTCCAGACAATCGTTGCTAAATAATGTCTGATGGTTTATAAATGAGAAAGTGAACTCGAAGTGTTGAATATGTTTATTTTTGGCACACCACAAAAATGGGATAGCAGACCACAAGCAGACCGGGCATACACACTAGCGAGCAAATGTGCGAATGAATTTATAAGATTGAAATGTTCGTATATATACAAAGGAAAGTGTCTGAGTCATCCAGGTATTTAAGAGATTAACATTAAGGCGAAAAGGATGAGTCAGCGCGTGGGCGTAAGCAATGCTCAGTCGTACAAGCTCATTCAAACCAGTCAATAAAAAATACCAACGGTGTACATATGAGTTTTTGCTATACAAATAGCTTGGTTACATAAGTTAATCGAAAAGGCTTAATCAAATTTAATATCAGCGAACTCAAGTTTATGTTGAGGCGCTACATGCTCACTTGTTTTAACTTAGTCGTCATGTTTATTTTGGCGTCAATAAATCTTCAGTTGCATCAGTTTTTTGTGTTCGTACTTCACATCTCGAGAATCGAACTGATTACTTGCTATTTAACTACAAGTAATGTAAAGCAAGGGCAGGATTTCTACAACTGAACAGCATCTAGACTTCAAAACCACCATTAACAAACACCTAAGTCACAATGTTCAATGCTAATGTTAAGATAATTCTACAGGATGGGTGAGAAAAGTTGGCGATCCATGAATGACATCGTCTACAAGATATAAGTGTTTATCAACAATCCATCGTCTACACAAGTTATTTAGAATCTGTTGGCCAGACACCATCACTAACAACTTACTATAGGAGAGAACAAACCAGATTCCAGTGGAGGAAGAAATCAGAAAGACGCGCTGTAAGCGGGTCGGACGTACATTGCAGAAATAACCCCACTGGGCCACAAGACAAGCCCCTATTCGGAATCCTTGAGGTAAAAGGAAAAGAAGAAGACCAAGGCAAACATTACGCCAAGTAAGAGAGACAGAAATAGACAGAATGAACAAAAATTGGACAGAACTTGAAAGAGAAGCCAGGGACAGATTAGGTTTGAGAATACAGGTCGGTGGCCTACGCTTCATTTAGGGGAACAGGCATGAGTACGTAAGTAAAATACAAGTAAACGCTTGACGTGGGTAGATTAGTATGAATTCATTTCAATCGGTTCCTTAGGTTTACATTAGATGTTTACAGTTCATATTATCTAAAAGTATTTTAATATTTATGTGTTATAATTTTGACCGGTTATAGATAGTTGATGAGAATAGATTTAGTCAAACGAAAACCAATTCCGATGTTATTCTTACTTACTTACTTACTTACGCCTGTTACCCCCAATGGAGGAGCAAAGGCCGCCCCGACCAGTTTCCTCCAACCAAATCTGTCATGGGCTTCCATCTCAAGTTCTGTCCAATGTTTGCTCATTCATCTCATATCTTTCTCTATTTCACGGCGTAATGTGTTCCTTGGCCTTCCTCTTTTCCTTTTACCTTGAGGGTTCCAAGTGAGGCCTTGTCTTGTGACGCAGTTAGGTGCTTTTCGTAGTGTGTGTCCTATCCACTTCCACCACTTATTCCTGATTTCCTCCTCCATTGGAATCTGGTTTGTTCTCTCCCACAGTTCGTTGTTGCTGATGGTATCTGGCCAACGAATCCGAAGTATTTTGCGTAGACAACTGTTAATAAACACTTGCATCTTCTGGATGACGGCTTTCGTAGTTCTCCAAGTCTCCGCTCCATACAGTAGAACTTTCTTGACATTTGTATTGAAAATGCTGATTTTGGTGTTGATTGAAAGTTGTTTGGAGTTGCAGATATTTTTCAATTGTAGAAATGCAGCCCATGCTTTGCCAATCTGCGCCCTCACATGTGCATCGGATCCACCTTTCTCGTCGATGATGCTGCCAAGATATGTAAAGGTGTTAACGTCCTCCAAGGCATCTCCATGAAGAGTGATTTGATTGGTTCATGTTGTGTTGCATCGGAGAATTTCGCTTTTCCCTTCATGTATGTTGAGTCCTGCTGCTGCTACACTGGTTGTCTTCTCTTGCATTTGTTGTTGCGAGTGCGATAGAAAAGCAACGTCATCTGCGAAGTCCAGATCATCCAGCTGCATCATAACTGTCCAGTTGATATCGTTCCTCCCTCCAGCTGTCGACGTCTTCATAATCCAGTCGATGACCAGGAGAAAGCGAAAGGATGAGAGTAAACAACCTTGCCTGACATGTTATTCTATTCATCAAATCTTTATGATAACTTTGTACAAAATAACAAACTTTTTCACAATATTTTCTTTCTCTATTCTCTTTTATTCTCTAGATTAAAGCGAAATATTATCGTGAATTAAAAAAATTCATTTGTATTCCAAATAATTTTCGTGGATTCAATGAACATATTCAATCTGCTGGCGATACTAATTATATTACTGACAGTACAGATAGTACTACAACAACTACTACTAATACTACTACTACATCTACTCACAAAAAACATATCTTCTCATCTATCATTGATAATCAAGAAAGCGCTTTACGGATATGTTATAAAAAAGCTGAATTCTTATTTACTCGACTATTTGGCAGTTTAAAACAATTTCAAGATTGGGTTATATTGGGTAGTATAAATTTAGACGATTTTGTTGATACGCATTGTCGTGATTTGGAAGATTTTGAAAAGAATTTCAAGGTCAGTCGGTATGGCTTGTTTGTTTGTTTGTTTAAATTTGTTTATTTGAATATTTTGTTACATAATGTTTTCTGGTAATGACGAATAAACTGGTCTTGTAGTGAAGGAGAACATAGGTGAGGGTAACCGAATTGTATTTAACGAAAATTACAGAGTTACTCAGTAAAATAGGAAAACCATATCGTAAACGGTTAATTTGCAAATCTTCATCATCATCATCAATCCATTGTCTGACATTTCACTATTCATACGTTTCATACAAATTCCATTGTGTTCCCAATCTTCCTTTGTTGATCTTCCCCCATCTTCTGCTGCCAGCTATTACGTTTTCACTCACGTCATATACTAATTATAAGTAGCGCGCACCTTAATCTGTTTCAATTGAAAAATATTACATTACTTCTATAATTATAGTTTGAAATGATATAACCAGTTAGTGAAATATGCATCTTACTTGTACGAGTACTGCGGAGAAGGTTTTAACTTATATGTTACACTTATTAGGTACTAATCTAAGTTCGGTTACTAATGAGAATAGGGGAGCAGAAGAAATCTCTTTTCCCCAAGTATAGGACTCAGCAGTGTGTACCCATTACTTCAACAGAGAACAAACCGGTGAGTTTTAAGTCTCGTAACGTACGATTAATAATTAGAACCAATGGTTCGACATCCAAAGGTGCAATTCCAATGTTATTAGTGACAACTCTTTCACTCCTGAGCGGTCTCAACATCACCAGTCATGGATTCTCACTAGAACTTCAAGGGATTTTGAGGTAAATCACTGTTAAGTTAATTAAACCTGAAGACTATGGATTCGATTTCTCGTGACATTATGTATGCACAATGCAGAAGAGAGTTTTATACTGGGACGAATCATCTGTCTAGTGTTCCCTGGTTTTAATGGTTCATAAAGTGAGGTTATTATTCTGTAACCATTGCAGTTTATGGATACATGCTCTTAGTAAAGCTTTGAGAGGAAATCCTCGGAGTTCCAGCGAAAAGCCTTTACCAATGGAGTTCAACCCTGTCGAGTGTGGGCAGTTACCCACCGAAGACAGTGAATGAGGTCGCGCAATACCTTGGATTAAAATTTGTAAGTGATTGGAGTATTGCATATGAAAATGTTTAAGTTCGGAAAAATGACACTACTCATCAAAATAAATAGATACACGAATTGATTGAAGAATAAATAATGTGCTTACTAGTGGTTAGCTTCGTGAGGAAATTCTCAGAGTTCTAATGAGAAGACGTGACCTCAGTGGAGCTCAAACCTATCAAGTCTAAGCCGTAACTACCGAAGATAATGGGTGTGTTTGCGCGAAATCCCAAGACTGATCAGAGTCAAACACAAACACCGTTGGATGCCGGCTTAGTGTTTTAGAGGTTAGGGAATCGAACGCAAGATCTTAGGTCCTAGGCTGGAATCCTGTGACTAGCAAGAGTCACAGATGAGCACTGACACTGATGAGTCCCATACTAGGACTAGGCGGCAGTCCAGTGCTTCCAAAAGTGATCTATTCATGATTTCAAATGAAATATGTACATGTTCACGATATTTTACATAACATTAGCTTTCATAGCTTTTCATCTCTTTTCATCTGTTTTGAATTCTCAAAGACTCTTAAAATCCGCAGTCGTGATGCAGAAAAATTACCAACTGAAATACGTATTGATTGTATTGTAGTGAATTGTTTGCCAGTTCGAATGGCTATCAATGGTTTATTGCAGAATTTATTTGATACGCTGCAAAATTGTTTACGTAGATCGATTCATGGAGATTTAATTGCTGCAGATGGATTTTTAACAGGTTAGATGATCTGATCTTTTGTTTTTCTAATTTCTTGTACAATTTTATTCTCATTTTCATGCATTTGAACTGCTGTAACGCTGCTACGTATAGCTCTTCAGTCCTAACGGCGTCCAATTCAAATATCCCAATACGACCCAAAATGCTATTTCCAAATTTCCTAGATATCAGAACGCAACACCGTGGAAGGAAGTTGTTTATTGGGTCGAATACAGAAGAAGAGGTAGGCAGGGGAAACGGAATTACTAAGTCTTTCAGATAGTGCGTATTTATACACTATGGTTGAATTAGGAAAAAGCATCAACGTCTGTGACATTGACAATTTAGGACGACCAATAGAAAAGAACATTTGAATGACATTAACAGTCTAGATGACCAATAAGAAGCAACATTGAAGTATTTGACCTTGACGGTTAGAACGATCATAATTTCGGCCAATAGAAACCGAACAATAGGGTTGTACTTCTGAAAATAGTATTCTTAGGATATTTGGTGAATTTCCTATCATGAACAAAGGCGGAGCAAAAATTAGAGCTGGAAAAAGTGAATTCATTCTTATTTTTAAGAATATTTAAGACTAAAATATGTTAAAACTGTAAGTAGCATAATAGACTGATACTGAATCGATAACGGCCTGGAATTGTCACCGCTCTTGAATCTGTTAATATAAATGACAGGCATACTAGGTCACTTTCATTGAACTTATCCGATTCAGCAGCTTGAACTGATGTACGCACGTACAAAGTTTCAAGTTGTAACTAACTGAGCTTCTCCGAAGCACTACTATATATCAGTAACTGAAACAAAATTTATACTTCTGAAAAGTGACAATCATCAGATGGTCACAACTATGGTAAACTTTTACTTACTGATTAAATCCTACAATTATTATCTGTAATTTTTAAAACTTATTATTCTTGCTATTATTGGTTGTAATGTCTGTATCAGTTTGTACCATTCTCAATGAGCAGCTTTTCACTGATTCGTGATTTTCACTCGGTGAGTTTTTCAAACTGATATAAACTCGATTAGTCTTTGACAATTAATATGCAATCTATCGGACAAAATTCCGGATTCGGGATAAATACTGTCTTAACCTTCTTCATGTTTTCAAAATCTACCTTTGTTATGTTCGTCACTAGGTACGCTTGAAGCTATTACGAGTTCACCTTAGTCGATAAACGCGAACGAGACAATTACCAGCGTCCAGGTAGGCTACCTTGAATCCTAAGCTGTAAACAGAAGTCTTGATAGGCGTAGAAAGTATATTTTACAAACATCCAGCAATCACAATACAATCAAGCACACAAATCTCGTTTATTTACACATCATAGAAACGTCCCTGGGACAATTACAAAAATAGCACACCAAAATACACAGCAGCCAATCACAGCCATGGGTTTTCGTGGTGGAAAATGAAACCTCAAGGTCAATTGATCAGCCCATGCTCGGAAACGTGAAATCCAAAAATAAGGCATTTATCAAGCGAGTTCTGGAGATCTAACATCCCCAACAACCTTCAAATGACTTTATGCCCTACACACATATATGTAAACACATACATTTATATTGTATTGTGGTGTGTGCTACTTATACGAACGATATAAGTAGTATAAGAAGGGACGTGAAAGAAGAAGTCTCACAGTCACAAGGGGAAAACGGAAAGCAAATGGAGCAAAAAAGCAAAAAGTGAATGGAGTACCAACAGGAAGGAAAGGAAGCAACAACAGGAATGGAAGAAGGATGGAGTATTGGAAGTCACGACTTAAAGATGGTGTGCAAATAGAGTGTTCAATGTAATGTTTTCGTTTTTAATTGACTCAGAGTGTACATTTGCATAATACAATTTTCCGCGCCTGCCTCAGTGTTCTCAATTGGTGTCGATGCCTCTACACAGGATGAAGATCCCATGGCCTCGGGAGTTTGAAGACGGAGACGTAAGTAGCTTCTTGAAGGAGTCCCAGGCCTCTACGGAGCTCGTAGGAGTCAAGGAGCAGACGGCGAAGGCGGTGGTGTTTGGGACTCTACTAAGAGGCAGGGCGGGAGCGGTGTACGATGGTGTGGAGGACGCTGACTGCGAGGTGGTGACGGAAAGGCTGCTGGTGGAGTTATACAGCCCGTCGGATAGGCAAGACGCGCTGCAGAAGTTCCGAGAGGCGAGACTGACAGTGGATGGCGACCCACTCGTGCTGGCTGTGGAGTTGACAAGATTGATACGCCGGGGTCTGCCGAATTTGGATGAGGAGTCGCAAGCACAGCTGCTAGCGTCGCAATTCATTGAAAGTGTGCCTGCAGAGGTTGCCCAACAGTTGAGACTGGTGAACGCGGCACAACCAATGGACGTCACCGAGCTGGCTAAAGTAACAAGACAACTGATGAACTCAACAGTCGCCTCGGTGGCGTGCGAGAGACAGGCTGATGATGTCGCGAAGAAGATAGAAGAATTACAACGCGAGGTGGCAGCGTTACGAAGAAAGGGTGGAAGAAATAATAAATGCTATATTTGCGGAGGAACTGGACATTGGAAGAGGAATTGCCCAACAAAACGAAAACATTACATTGAACACACTCTATTTGCACACCATCTTTGAGTCGTAACTTCCAACACTCCATCCTTCTTCCATTCCTGTTGTTGCTTCCTTTCCTTCCTATTGGTACTCCATTCACTTCTTGCTTCTGCTCCATTTGCTTTCCGTTTTCCTCTTGTGACTGTGAGACTTCTTCTTTCACGTCCCTTCTTATACTACTTATATCGTTCGTCTAAGTAGCACACACCACAGTGTGTCGTAGTACGTTTTGCTACAATGAATGAAGACTAAGTCGAAAAATCCCCTTTTATGCTTAAGTTACTTTCTTTTTGCCGTTTTACGTATCTTTGTGGAGGCGTTTTTCTTACATCTTGACATCCCAATCTACTCTCCTTGTTCCTTCCTGACTGTTCATAAGAACAGTCATTATCAGATTAGTCAGTAATTGGTTCTAAGAGTTATGTACTACAGTTGTACAGGCATTTATTATTATTACTATTATTATTACTAAATCTTATATGATTCTCTTACACTACACTACATTCATATAGATTCATTAGAGAAACTTTCCAATCGACCTCAAACTATTGATGAATTAATTGAAGCTAAATCGCAATACAATGAATATAGCAAAATATTGAACAATTTACATGAACAAATTCAATGTGCTGACAAGAAAAATCAATTACTTTGTACAATCTCCGGTAATGGTGTGACAACAATTAATACAATTAAAACAAAATGGGAAAAATTCAATACAATGATGGAAAGTTTTCAATTTATCATGAATGAACAATTAGAAGTAGGTTTTTGAATTTTATATGATGGTGTAAAGTATATAAATCAGTGTCAATTACCTATATACTTACTTACTTTCTCCTGTTACCCCCAATGGAGCATAGGCCGCCCCACCAGTTCTCTCCAACCAACTCTGTCCTGGGCTTCCCTCTCCAGTTCTGTCCAATGTTTGTAAATTCCTCTCATATCTTTCTCTATTTCTCGGCGTTATTAATGTGTTCCTTGGCCTTCCTCTTTTCCTTTTACCTTGAGTGTTCCATGTGAGGGCTTGTCTTATGACGCAGTTAGGTGCTTTCCGCATTGTATGTCTTATCCACTTCCACCAATTCTTCTTGATTTCCTCCTCCACTGGAATATGATTTGTTTTCCCCCACAGTACGTTGTTGCTGATCGTGTCTGGCCAACGAATCCAAAGTATATTGCGTAGACAACTGTTCATAAACACTTGTATCTTCTGGATGATGCCTTTCGTAGTTCTCCATGTTTCCACTACATACAGTAGAACTGTCTTGACAATTGTATTGAAAATCCTGATTCTGGTGTTGAGTGATATTTGTTTGGAGTTGCAGATATTTTTTCAACTGTAGAAATGCAGCTCTTGCTTTGCCAATCCGTGCCCTCACATCTGCATCGGATCCACCTTGATTGTTGATGATGCTGCCAAGATATGTAAAGGTGTTAATGTCATCCAAGGCATCTCCATGAAGAGTGAGTGATTTGGTTGGTGCATGTTGTGTTGCGTCGGAGAATTTTGTTTTTACCTTTATGTATGTTGAGAACTGCTGCTGCAGAGGCTGCTGCTACACTGGTCATCTTCTCTTGCATTTGTTGTTGCGTGTGATATAGAAGAGCCAGGTCATCTGCGAAGTCCAGATCGTTCAGCTGCGTCCTAACTGTCCAGTTGATACCGTGCTTCCCTCCAGATGCTGACGTGTTCATAATCCAGTCGATGAGCAGGAGAAAGAGAAAGGGTGAGAGTAAGCAACCTTGCCTGACACCGGTGTCAATAGTTAAGTATTGTTCTTTTAATCAAATAGAATTGAAGAATTAAATTTTCAGTAAAGCTAGATAGCGGCTCAGAATGGCTTAAATGAACAACGCCTTAGTATTTAGCTTGAAGCATGATGCGTTCAAATTTCAATGTGAGTAGATATGTGTAGGCGATTAGTTTGAATCGAGACAAAACGTGTATCCTTAGTTCCTCTGCTAGGCACTACATAACCGTAACCAAAACTTGTATTTAAATAGAAGTATTCAGCGGATCCCCTCAGGATCTTTGTGCATAAAATAGAGACCAATCAACCACAGTCCTTCAATTCAACAACGGGAATGTAAACTAACCTTAGTAAGAGTAAAGCCCTGACGGTTGTGTTGTAGGGGTAGTCTAGAAGAAATCTAGGGGCGGCCAAACCTAAACATCGCATAAATCTATTAAGTCACTGACAACTAGACTGAACCATGTTAGTAAGTGTAAAATACCTGCTTGGGGTCTGCGAGACATTAGTAACCGATGGTTAGTGACTTTGAATGATATGTCTCGAAATCGTTTTCAATGGCGCAGCTGCTTCTATTCTTTGTCTTCTCTCATGACCCCATTAGCTCAGAACCTTTCCTTATCTCTTTTCAAATTTATTTCGCTGAATTATACTTCTTGTATAGCTTCTTCGCACCCTAATCTTTTCTATTACCTCTAATACCTCTTCTTGTACCTCTACTACTATGGAATTTAATTGCACAATTCGGTCTCTGTGATAATGTGGTATGGCAACTTGAACTGATGTACGTACTTACGTACGTACGAAGTTCTACGTTGTAACTGACTAATTGATACTAACCCTAAAAAATATAACACATTTGAGTATATTTTTTATGGTGAAATAATGTGAAGTAGAATTAAACTCTCAGCAAACATTCGTTCATAAACTTGTATATGACTATTATTTTGGTGATAGCTATATATTGGAAGACTGATAAAACTGATCATGTGTAGTTTTGTGTTAAATAAGTGAAAATTTGTTAAAATCAATAAGTGTAGTTTATTCAAAGTGTATTTATTCATTCTTATAATCACTCGATTGGCATCCTCCTCGAATGTGTATATTAAATTTTCAACTTTTGATAGTGATAGTTTTACGAAATGGCGGTAAATTTAGGTCATCTGATTGTTAAAATCATTTTTAATGAATTTAAAATGTTAACAGTTTGTTCAATATTCAATCTGAAGTTTGTGCTGATGATGTTGTTCAGAAGAACAAACAATAAAAGCTCCACAATAAAAACCCTCTTTCACACACCTTAGTTTTTCGTATCACATGTCTCTTCTTTGATGTGTTTGGAAATGCAAACTAGTATCATCTATGTTTGAACTGTGAAATAAAATTCAAAGTTAGAATGAAGTAGGAATGTGTTCCTGTTTGTTTTATGTTGGTTATGTATATTATGCCTAACTGTCAGATGTTAGCATTCATTGCCAATCACAAATAAAGACACCACTCTATTCATTAGTCGAACATTTTCAAAATAAATGACAACGCTCACTACTTCTAATCATGGTCAACCAACAGGCCTGCTGCACATGCATATCGCTGCGTTGATATACAGCGCAAGGATACTCACTGTTGCCGACAGTACTGACCCCTGCCCCTTTCGGGTACATACATGTTGTCCGGTTTGGTCTGCAGACAAGTCGGACATCCAAAAAGCACGCACACGAGCAGTGGCCCCTGCCCGGGCACTTATGAATCAAGAAATCCCACCAACCAAACCACAGCCCACAATCCCCAATCGACGGCAAGGCGGGCTTATCCTTCCGGACAAGGGACCCCGTAGCAGGTTACCGAGCCACCCAAGCAGTGCACTAACCAGCAGCCATCCCAACAGTCTGGCCTCCAACTGCCTTGGGTTGATACAATCGATCGAGGCCCATCTTACCCCGCATGAAGCTAAAGATCGAGTTTGTCCCACAAGGTCAGCTAGAACGTACACCATTCCATGAGGAAGATGTCATGGACTCGACCGAACGCAAGCGCTCAGCCAAGCAGGGTTCATCCCACAGAAGTGGGCAGACATCATTTGTGTTCAATGCCCTTTTCAGCACTAAAGCACCGGAACCCAACTTGAGACCCTTGTTTAAGGGGCCTCGACGCCAGTTCACACACAACATCCGGTGAAGCATGTAAGGGATAACCACATAGGGTCGGCGTCAGTAGTCCAGGATGTCTGCGGCTGCTTCCCCGAACATAGGGTCCAGGGCCGCCCTCGATCATCCTACTACATCCCTTTCAACGGCGTTTAGCCGCAGCGATGTATCCACCGCCACGTTGCCTAGCGGGACCACGAAGAGGTAGCCGCCACCACAACCCCCTCAAAGGCACCAATATTGCTTAACCCGAGGCCACCTCAGGCATTCTAAGGCTACGCCCCTTCAATTAGATGACGAGGCATTTGGCTACTTTAAGAGAGTCATAGTTACTCCCTACTCACTACTTCTACATGAAGTTAGCTCTGATTATATTGTTCGGAATAACACTGAATACTCTATAATCAAACTATCTACCCCATAGAATACACAATACTATCAAATGTATTGTTTGTATAGAAATATTTAATTTACTTTAAATTACCACTGTGGTGTGAGCTACTTATAAGTAGTATATGACGTGAGTGTCAACGTAATGTCTGGCAGCAGAAGATGGGGGAAGATTAAGAAAGGAAGAGTTAGAAAACAATGGAATTTGTATGAAACACATGAATAGTGAGTGACAATGGATTGGTGTTTTGCAACAGGAACAGTCCAGTTCGATAATATGATGAACTGATATTTTGCATATTAACGATTTAAGAGATATGGTTTTCCTATTTTACTGAGTAACTCTGTAATTTTCGTTAAATACGATTCGGTTGCCCTCACCTGTGTTCTCGTTCACTACACCACAATATATTATCTATTCACACTTGAATACTTCAATATCTCTGTTTTTTTTGCAGATTTTAAAATCAAGTGTCATCAATGAAACAAATGTTTATTTGAATAATTTGGAACGTTTTAAAACACGTTGGAATCAATTGAAACCAGGCAAAAATGTATCAGTTTCTGATAACAATAAAAATAATGAACTAGGTCTATCTGTTATCACTATCATCAAAGAACATGAAACTGAATTTCGTGAATTGGAACAGATGCATCAAAAGTTAATGTAAATTGTCAAATAATTTTTGTTTTTTTTTAAAATTTACTGTATAATCAATTTAAATATGGCGGCGTCCATATGTATGCGTGTACTCCATATTGATTACCTTGATTATTGTCTTTACATCAACTCATCTAAGCTGATGAGTTCTCCAAATCGGATGAAACTCGTATTGTTGGATTCTACTTTCAGCTAGATTGAGTCTAATTCTTCACTTTTTTCAAAATTATCTTTTTTACCAATATTTTTAGTATATAGTTATCGATGGAATGTAGGACATACTAGTTTCATCTTACTTATGACTTATCAGTATTCATTTATCAATGTTTACACTAAGACTTAAACATTGTACTTGTAGCTTTTACAAACGCCGATTCATTCCTCCATCCTCCTTCACTACATTTGGTGTCGGTTCCTGTTCGAAGGAAGGAGCTCTCATGGCCGAAGGAGTTGGAGGTCGGAGATTTGCGGAGCTTCCTGGAGGAGTTTGAGGCCGCGGTAAAGCCGGTGGGTGTGAAGGGGCCTGGGGCGGAGTTGGCGGTGCTGGGGACGCTGCGGGGAGGTGAGGCGAATGCGGTACACGACAGCCTGGACAGTGCAGCCGGGAAGACGGCGTGGGAGACGGTCACTGGGCGGCTGATGACGGAGTTCGACAGCCCGGTGGACAGGAAGGAGGCGCCGCAGAGGTTCCGGTTGGCGAGGCTGTCGGCTGATGTCGACCCGTTGCTGCTGGCTACGGAGCTTACAATGTTGCTGCGCCGTACGCTGCCGAGTATGGATGGGTAGTCAGGGGCACAGTTGTTGGCGTCGCAATTTATCGAGAGTGTGCCTGCCGCCGTGTCCCAGCAGCGGGAACTAGTAAACGCTACATGTTGGATAGATGCCGTATCCATTCCAGACCAGCGGGCAAGAACAATGACCGAAGTAGTAATCCGGCATATTTTAGTGTGTCACGGAATACGGAAGGTGATATTAACTGACCACGGTCCCTGTTTTGAAAGTGACGACAGCTTATTAAAAGGGGGAACGAGTGTGGTGCGAGCTACTTATAAGTAGTATATGACGTGAGTGTCAACGTAATGTCTGGCAGCAGAAGATGAGGGAAGATCAAGAAAGGAAGAGTTAGAACACAATGGAATTTGTTTGAAATGCATGAACAGTGACAATGGATTGATGTTTTCCAATAGGAACAGTCCAGTTCAATATGATGAACTGATATTTTGCAAATGAACGATTTACGATATGTTTTTCCGATTTTACTGAGTAACTCTGTAATTTTCGTTAAATACAATTCGGTTGCCCTCACCTGTGTTCTCCTTCACTACAGTACTTGTAGCTTTTACAAACGCCGATTCATTCTTGACTAAAGCATGGAGTCTTCAACAAGTATAATATTTATCATGCTTTTTAAAGATCCCTAAATTCCTGTTTGTGATATTTAGGCCTGATTTCCGTTTGTTCTCTGTTTGTAAATGTTTTTCCTTGAACGGGTATATCTCGTTTTATTGACTACAATCCTTAATTCATTATATTTGCAGATAATAGCCAGTAGTTTTGAGAAGACTGAAGCAGGCAAGGAAGATTGTATTATGCTAATTTGCACTCTGGCTCAATTAAAAACGAAAACATTACATTGAACACTCTATTTGCACACCATCTTTGAGTCATGACTTCCAACGCTCCATCCTTCTTCCATTCCTGTTGTTGCTTCCTTTCCTTCCTGTTGGTACTCACTCCATTTACTTCTTGCTTTTGCTCCATTTGCTTTCCGTTTTCCTCTTGTGACCGTGAGACTTCTTCTTTCACGTCCCTTCTTATACTACTTATATCGTTCATATAAGTAGCACACACCACAGTTGTATTGTGAACTTGAGTTATATTCTATTTGAGAGATTCATTAACTGGAATAAGTGCTTGCAGTCAGAAGATAGATTGATCGAATTCAGTCATGATAAAAAGCAGAGAAACGGAATCTTTAAAAATGGCACCAAACTTGGACTAATAATTTTTTTTAGTGGATTCGATATTTTCTACGGCGTAAATAAGGGAAAAAAAGTCAATTATGATATTACTTGGCAGCACACACTTGAACACATCATACTGTCAAGATCTGTGGTGTTTGTCAATTAAAAGGTTCGATGTTAAATTCTCTGTTTATGATATTCAATGAAAATAGGACTTATTTCATGATGAACACCACGTGCTCCAAGAGTGTGCATTTGTTGATAACTGTCAACTAGCATGATACCTACAGACGAAGCCTATTATCCCCAATGCAGCATAGGCTGCTGAACAGCATTCTCCAAACTACTTTGTCCTGAACCTCCCTTTCTAGTTCGGTCCGCATGAAGCCCTTCTGTGGCTACTGCTAGTTCCACGCCAGGATAAAGCAGGAGGCTTGTGCATGGGGTTGACGATCACATCCCGTTAAAAATTAACTCTCCAGAAAACGCTAGCCAGAAAAAAGTAATTCAACATTTCAACGTATGGATATCAAATCATTTTGAAAGTCATCTATGTACACCACAGAGTAATAAATTTATCAAATTAACCTGAAATTGATCTTTTTTATTAACTAACAGAGTTAAGTCAAACCGGGAGCAACGTAGTCTATCCATCAGTGGTATTGGAGAATAATTGTATAATATCACGAATTGGTTGAAATTAGTATAATAAACTGTTGATTACTTGATCATTCATCTCAAAAAGTTGAAAGCTCGTCACTTGTCACTTGGAAGGTTCTAGACTCACCTAGTGTAAGTGAGACTATCTCGGAAAATGATGGGACTATTACTTATTCTCAATCCAGGAGACTGGATCGATGGGCAGAACACTTTAGGGATCAGTTCAACTGTCCTCGAGCCACTCTTCGGTTACCCACGATCTCCAGTCATCCTGAATGGCAAATCGACGTAAGTCCCCCTAGTCTTAATGAAGTTGAAAAAGCGTTAGGAAATCTGAAGCGAGGGCAAGCTGTAGGTCCTGATAGACTGACCCCTGAGATATTTAAGGATGGTAGTCCAAAGTCGTCTCGACGTTGGACCCAACTGGATCACATTGCCATCAGCCACCGGCGGAGAGGTTCGATAGAGGACTGTCGCTCGTTCTGGGGGCACATGTTTAGATTCAGATCATGCCCTAGTGCGAGCTCGTATTTGTTTGAGGCCTACTGGGCGTAGGAAAGACACCGTAAGAAAGCCTCTTATGGTTTTACTTAATGATAATAAGGCGAAGAATATATTTCTAATACCTTAACTACCTCTTCTACTATTGGATTTGAATTGACAATTACATCTCTGTGCTAATGTGGTATGGCAACATGAACTGATGTACTTACGTCCGAAGTTCTACGTTGCATCTGACTGACTGACTGACTGACACCGTTCTGTGGGGTTTTGGGCACATACTTGTATGCAGTCCCATACTAATATGAAACAACCATTCATTGTCTCCTGGTTTCCAACATTCGTCTTGCTAAGAATAATTCTTAATGTAGATGTCAAATTTAGCATACTTTTTCTATTCATGGAATGTTTAAGATTCACTAATAATGTTGTCGTTGTGTCTAAGATTCCTGTTGACCAACTTTCTTATCTATCATATGTGTTCATTTTATATACTTGAATAAATTGCTTTTCCTTGGGTTATTTTTCCTTCCCCATACAGACGTGATTATGAGTATTTTGATATGCCTAAACCGGAATTCACATTAGTGACTGAATTAGCCAATGATTTAAATCATTATTCAGCTATGTGGTTAGAATATGATAATTTTTGTCAAGAACTTCAAAATTATGCTAAAGAAGATTGGATATCATTTAAGTGAGTGGTTTATTTTTAGTAATCTATATCATTTTAAATGTTTCAATATTCAATTATGCTTGATAGGTGCTTCAGAAATTTTGGATGGAAGTTTCGTCCTAGAATGGGATGACTCATCATCAGTACGCATCCACGACCACTGCTCTTGGGAAGCAAAACTTGCGGACCTTTGGTCTCGCTCACGAACGCTTAACTTCTGGACCGATGGACTGGCGGCATCCGACGGTGTTTTAATGTCTAACTGTGATCAATCCACGGTCTTGCGTCAGACCGCAGCTCATGAGTTCGATCCCTGCTAGCGAGAGTCGTGGATTTACACTGATGAAGAGTTCCAAACTAAAACGAAACGGCATTCCTGTGCTCTCAGTTTTATAAATGTTTGTTTAACACAACCCTATTGTTACGCATGCATATAAACACGTCAATTGATATGCTTGAACTAATACGAGTTCACTTTAGTCGGTGAAGGAGAGCCAGGATCAATGATCCGGCGACACGATAAGCTACTCTAATCCTAAACCCCTACTGAGTAAAAGAAGACTTGATATGATGTAGAACATGTATTCTACAAGGATCCAGAAAGCAAAAGGTTCAAGTCCAGAAGGGAATCAGGATTCCGGACTAGGGATCCGTATCCGGTCCTTAAAACGCCACAGATAATGCATATTAACACAGTTTGTTCGAATAGGAAACAACATTGAAGTATATGACATTGATAATTAGGACCATCAATAGGAAACACCATTTGAAGTGACATTGACAGTCAGGAGGATCAATAGGGATTAACCAATAGGAATCGACCAATAGAACTAGACTTACATATAATTCTCTTAGGATATTTGATGAATATCCTAACACCTATAATGAAGATGGAAGAGCATTATGATAAATCTAGACAGTTTTTGTTTGTGCTGTCTAATTTTCACTTCATATTTCAATGATCACTAGATTTTAGTTGTGGAAGCTGTCCTAAAGCGGATTGAAGAATTCAGACTATGAATTAATAAGGACAAATCACAAATAGCGAAAAGTAGTGTCATCTTTTTGGAGCATAAAGTTGGAAATGGAGAAATAAAACCGTTGCTGGAGAAAATCCTAGCCATAAAGAACATCGCGGTACCTAATTCAAAAAGCAAGCTGAGACAGTTTCTTGGAAGGGAGGCGTTCTACAGTCGATTCGTCAAGAACTTTACAGAAGAAGCAGCACCCTTCTATAAGTTGTTAAGCGACACTAAGTTTACGTGGACAGAGACTGACCAGCAAACGTTCGACCGTATCAAAAACCTATTGGACGACCGCCGGACGACGCTACGATTACCTGAACCTGAAAAACTGTTTACAGTGGCAACGGATGCTGCCAGACATTTCGTTTTTACTCGCGTCACATACTTCTTATAAGTAGCGCGCACCACACTCGTCCCCCCTTTTAATAAGCTGTCGTCGTAATCTTTCTGATCACCGTACCGCTGTCTTCTTTGGTGCTTTCCGTGACTCACACACTCGATAATCTTGAAACCACCTCTGCAGTTGACTGGCATTTACACGCTTCTGTTTTTCTTCTCTCCGGGTCGTGTACACCGCGCCGCGTCTCTCCGTGATAACGTACGGTCCTTCTCACTTTGGGATCAGCTTTCCCCACGCTGATCCCCCTGCTATGCTACTTTTTTATTCTCTACACTTTACTAGGTCCCCCACTGCAAAAGGTTCCCACGTTCTCCTCTGTTGTTCCACCTTCTTTATGTCTGATATTTGATTCTTTCCAACAATCCTGATTGCCTCCCTCCTTTCTTTCCTTAACCTTGTTGATGTCCATTTCTGTTGTTGTGGCCAGGTCTTATTGTGCAATGAAAGTCGCGGTTGTCTGCCATACATGAGCGAGCAGGGTGATTTCTTGGTTGTTCCTTGTATAGAGGAACGATGCGCCAGCAAAATCAATGGTAACTCTTTCTTCCACCAATCTCCTCTTCTAGATGCTAACCATTCCTTTAACGTCCAGTTGTTTCACTCTGTAAGCCCGTTTGTCTGAGGATGATACGGTGTTGTTCGTATCCACTTGATGCCAAACTGTTTTAGACGAGTTAAACAACTTCAATTAACTTTTGTTCAACAATTCAATAATAATATGTCTGTGAACGAAAAATAATTCCCATCTTTAAATATTCAACATGTCTCTAAATGCTTCACCATGTTAGAGTTTTCAAATATGTTACTGAATACCCAAATTATTTTCTAATTGTGTTTGATGAGAAAAATTAAATCTTGATGGTTGATATATATATTGAATAGAACGAGTAGTTAGTTGATTTACAAATATATTCCACTAGTATTCATATGTACAAATTACTTTTTGGAAAACATATTATCTACTTACTTACTTACGCCTGTTACCCACAATGGAGGAAAGGCCGCCGACCAGCATTTTCCAACGTACTCCGTCACTAGCCTTCCTTTCCAGTTTTGTCCAATTGTTGTTCATTCCTCTCATATCTTTCTCTGTTTTTCGGCGTAATGTGTTCCTTGGATTTCCTCTTTTCCTTTTGCCTTGAGAGTTCCATGTGAGGGCTTGTCTTGTGACACAGTTTGGTGCTTTCTCAATGTGTGTCGTATTCACTTCCAGCGCTCCTTCCTGACCGTGGTGTGTGCTACTTAGACGAACGATATAAGTAGTATAAGAAGGGACGTGAAAGGAGTCTCACGGTCAGAAGAGGAAAACGGAAAGTAAATGGAGCAAAAAAGCAAGAAGTGAATGGAGTACCAACAGGAAGGAAAGGAAGCAACAACAGGAATGGAAGAAGGATGGAGCGTTGGAAGTCCCGACTCAAAGATGGTGTGCAAATAGAGTGTTCAATGTAATTTTTCGTTTTCTTCTTGTTGGGCAGTTCCTCTTCCAGTGTCCGGTTCCTCGGCAAATATAGGATTTATTATTTCTTCCACCCTTTATTCGTAACGCTGCCACCTCGTGTTGTAACTCTTCTATCTTCTTCGCGACATCATCTGCCTGTCTTTCACACGCCACTGAGGCGACTGTTGAGTTCATCAGTTGTTTTGTTACTTTAGCCAGCTCGGTGACGTCCATTGGTTGTGCCGCGTTCACCAGTCTCAACTGTTGGGCAACTTCTGCAGGCACACTTTCAATGAATTGTGACGCTAGCAGCTGTGCTTGCGACTCCTCATCCGAATTCGGCAGACCCCGGAGCAGCAATCTTGTCAACTCCACAGCCAGCACGAGTGGGTCGCCATCCACCGTCAGTCTCGCCTCCCGGAACTTCTGCTATCGAACTCCACCAGCAGCCTTTCCGTCTCCACCTCCCAGTCAGCGTCCTCCACACCATCGTACACCGCCCTCGCCCTGCCTCTTAGCAGAGTCCCCAAAACCACCGTCTTCGTCCTCTGCTCCTTGACTACTACCAGCTCCGCCACGGCCTCGAACTCCTTCAAGAAGCTCTTTCAATCTCCGTCTTCAAACTCCCGAGGCCATGGAATCTTCATCCTGTGTAGAGTCAGCGACACCAATTGAGAAGAATGAGGCAGGCGCGGAAGATTGTATTATGCAAATTTATACTCTTAGTCAATTAAAAGCGAAAACATTACATTGAACACTCTATTTGCACACCATCTTTGAATCGTGACTTCCAACACTCCATCCTTCTTCCATTTCTGTTGTTTGTTGCTTCCTTCCCTTCCTGTTGGTACTCCATTCACTTCTTGCTTTTGCTCCATTTACTTTCCGTTTTCCTCTTGTGACCGTGAGACTTCTTCTTTCACGTCCCTTCTTATACTACTTATATCGTTCGTATAAGTAGCACACACCACACTGACTTACTCCTTCTGGGAAAATATATTTGTTTTGACTAAATTATTCTCATTCGTGTTCATCATTGTGATTATCTTTTTTATTGTATAATAGTTAGTGGATAATTTTTTATTTCTCACTCCTTTATCCAGATCACGTTATTATGTATTTGAAGAATTTCTAACTGAATGGTCTAATAAAATTCGATCATTACAACCAACTCCAATGACTGTTCGTCTGCAAAAAGAAATCGATCAATTTATGGTAAAGTTTTTTTTTGATTCTCATATTTGATTCTTTTAAAAATTTTCACCACAGACATCACGAAATCAGAGGCAAAATTTCTTATAGAAAGTATATTACAAAACAGTTCACCTAAGCATTTTCATACACTTTTGTACTACCTTACTTACTTACACCTGTTACCCCCAATGGAGCATAATCCACAGTACAGCATTCTTCAAACTACTCTGTCCTGAGCTTTTCTTTCCCAGTTTTATACAATTGCTGTCCATTATTTTTATGTCTATCTACAATCCCTTCGCATCATATTTTTCTTGAGAATTCCTAGTGAGGGCTTGCCCTGTGACGCAGTTGGGTTCTTTCCTTAATGTACGTACTTCTTCCAGATCACTTCATCTGCTGGAATCTGGTTGGTTCTCTTCCACAATAGGCCATTACTGTTGGTCATACACTTTTGCATTGAGTATTAAACGGTTTTTAATGGTAGTTATTAGATCTGTAGTAATTTGAAAGATTTTATAATACGTTTATTTTTCTTGAAGGTAACTGAGTTTAGTGAAGTACCATGAATATAAGTGATCTATTTATAATTATAAAGGTAATGTAATAGTTATGCATTGAAACATATTGTGGTGCGAGCTACTTATAAGTATTATATGACGTGAGTGTCAACGTAATGTCTGGCAGCAGAAGATGAGGGAAGATCAAGAAAGGAAGAGTTAGAACACAATGGAATTTGTATGAAACGCATGAATAGTGACAATGGATTGATGTTTTGCAACAGGAACAGTCCAGTTCGATATGATGAACTGATATTTTGCAAATTAACGATTTATGATATGGTTTTCCGATTTTACTGAGTAACTCTGTAATTTCCGTTAAATACAACTCGGTTGGCCCACCTGTGTTCTCGATCACTACATTTGGTGTCGCTGCCTGCTCGAAGGAAGGAGCTCCCGTGGCCGAAGGAGTTGGAAGACGGAGATTTGCGGGGCTTCTTGGAGGAGTTTGAGGCCGCGGTGGAGCTGGTGGGTGTGAAGGGGCCCGGGGCGGAGTTGGTGGTGCTAGGGACGCAGCGGGGAGGTGGGGCGGAGCCGGTATACGACAGCCTGGACGGTGCCGCCCAGAAGACGTCGTGGGAGACGATCACCGGGCGGCTGATGACGGAGTTCGACAGCCCGGTGGACAGGGAGGAGGCGCCGCAGAGGTTTCGGTCGGCGAGGCTGTCGGCTGATGGTGACCCGTTGGTGCTGGCTGTGGAGCTCACGATGTTGCTGCGCCGTACGCTGCCGAGTAGGGATGGTGAGTCGGGGGAACATTTGTTGGCGTCGCCATTTATCGAGAGTGGGCCTGCCACCGTGATAGTCTGCAGGATAATATGTGATATTCTTACAACTTATGTGTTTGATTTAAATCAGATCTTATATTTCTTTTTCTCTTATTATTATAGAATCTTATACCAGTTTTGAAATGGTTAAAAGGTGATCATTTAACAAGAGATCATTGGTTTGAATTATTTCGTCTGATTGGTTTGCCAAAAGAATCAAAATTGGAGAATTTACTGTTTGGTGACTTTTTCCCAATTATATCTAATATAATTCATCAATCGGATGCATTGAAATCATTGTCACAACGTGCACAAGCTGAAATTGTTGTTCGTGAAGCTTTACATGAATTAGATTTATGGGGTGCTAGTACTACATTCACACTAACTGAATATATTGATAGTTCTGGACAAACTGTGTATTTAGTAAAAGATTGGAAAGATATTGTCAGTCAGGTTAGTTTCGAAAAGTAACAACACCATATGCTTCAATATGTTTTTTTTCGTACACTGAATCTAGTATGTAACTAACTAACTGTATGCGAGAGTGAATACAGAATGTTCATCGATGTAATTCAAGTTTGTTTAAACTGTTTAGTATAGTCCAGTGTAACTCAATAATCAATTCCCCGATTTTTTTCTCACTGTGCCTTGAACCATGCAGCTCATTGGGAAGCTAAATGGTACTGCTTAGCTGCTGTAATAGAAGTACTGTCTTTTTTGCTCTTCAACCGAAAATTTGATGGGTATAGTGCATCTGATTGTTGGGGATGTTAGATCCCCAGAACTCGCTTGATAAATACCTTCACTTGGATTTCATGTTTGCGAGCATGGGCTGATCAGTTGACCTTGAGATTTCATTTCCCACCACCAGGAAAATCCATGTCTGTGATTGGCTGTTGTGTGTTTTACTGTGCTATTTTCGTAACTGCTTACAAGGACGTTTCTACGATATATAAATAAACGAGAGTTGTGTGCTTGATTGTGTTGTGTTTGCTGGGTGTTTGTAGAATATACTTTCTACGCTTATCAAGTCTCCTGTTTTGCGGTTTGGGATTCAAGGTAGCCTACTTGGACGCTGGTAATTGTCTCGTTCGTGTTTATCGACTAAGGTGAACTCATAATGGATTCGAGCGTACCTAGTGACGAACATAACACTAATTACTGAAATGGAATGCACATAAAATATAATTGAACATTGACTGATCTTTTATTAGTGGCTGATGTCATACCTGCCTAGTTCATACCGTGATTTAGCTAAAGTCATTTGGTAATGTAAATCTAAAAGAAAGTATCTAATTATTTTTGTAAACTTCGATAAGAGAATGTGAAATTAAATGAAATCATGAATCAATCGCTGTCAGATCACCATTAGAAACCTAGAAGCACTGGACGGCCGTTTTGTCTTGGTATGGGACCCATCATCAGTGCACGTCCACGACTCCTGTTACTCGCAGGATTCGAATCCAAGACCTTCAGTCTAGCGCGCAAGCGCATTTACCTTTAGTAGTTACTACCTACACCCGACTGGGTTGAACTCCACTGGTCATGTCTTCTCACTAATGGTGGTCTAACAATAACCGATTCATGATTTCAGTAGTAAACTGTAGTGAAGGAGAACACAGGTGAGGGCAACCGAATTGTATTTATCTCAAATAACAGAGTTAATTGGTAAAATAGGAAAACCATATCGTAAATCGTTAATTTGCAAAATATCAATCCATCATATCGAACTGGACTGTTCCTGTTGCAAACATCTAATCCATTGTCTGACATTTTACTGTTCATGCGTTTCATTGTGTTCCCGCTCTTCCTTTCTTGATCTTCCCCCATCTTCTGCCGCCAGACATTACGTTTACACTCGCGTCATATACTACTTATAAGTAGCGTGCACCACAAAACAACAACCTCCATAACGCTAAATGAAAAATACCAAACTCGTTTGTCTTGTTACAATAGAGTAATATATCAATAACAGATGTAAAACCAGTCGAAATCTTATCCAGATAGTCTTTTTTTAAAAATCTTTTGAAACTCATATTATCATTATTGTTAATCCTAATATCATGGAATTAAATTTGTTTATTAATCCAATGTTCATATTATTTAGGTTGGAGATAATATGGCCCTATTGGCTTCATTACACGACTCCCCGTATATTGATAGTTTTTCAGATCGATCCAATGCTTGGGCACAACGTCTATCTGATTTAGATTATTGTTTGACTCGATTTCAATCGGTCCAACGTAAATGGGTGTATTTAGAACCAATCATGGGTCGTGGTTCATTGCCAAAAGAAACTGCACGATATGCACAAATTGATGAAGAATTTCGTAGACTACTTGGTTATTTAAAAGTAGATAGTCGTGTTGTTAGTTTAGTTAGTGGTATGAAAGGTAAAGCTTTAAAGGACACGTTAAATAATCTACAGGTATGTTTTGTGGATTTTTGTGATTTGTTTTCTGAATAGTTTATTTTTGAATCTGCTATCAAATATACACTGTATTGTAGTATAGTACTGTAGTGAAGGAGAACACAGGTGAGGGCAACCGAATTGTATTTAACGAAAATTACAGAGTTACTCAGTAAAATAGGAAAACCATATCGTAAACGGTTAATTTGCAAATCTTCAATCCATCATCAATCCATTGTCTGACATTTCACTGATTCATGCGTTTCATACAAATTCCATTGTGTTCCCACTCTTCCTTTCTTGATCTTCCCTGATCTTCTGCTGCCAGACATTACGTTTACACTCGCGTCATATACTACTTATAAGTAGCGTGCACCACAGTACTTTCTAGATTCGAGAACTTGTTGTAAAAAAAATAATCAGTGTATTGTACCAGCTAGAATCTATAAATTACTTTGAATTCGTAGGAAAGTTTATTCGATTTAAAGACGGAAATGAGAGAAGAAGGTGGAGAAAATTTGTAGCTCAGGTAGATGATTGCGGTGGAGTTTCGTACTTTAAGCTGAATGCTGTTTTGGTTATGAAGCTTTCAGGTAGACTTCTGTCTGAAGTTTGTATTGATAATGTTGTTCAGAAGAACAATGAAAGTTCCACAACGAAAACATTCAGCTCAGAGAAAGGAAATCCACCTCGGCATAGTGTTTTTCCTAATTCTTTTGACAGATACCCAAAGAATAATATGCCTCCAATCCAGCGTTTGATGAAAATCAAGTAAATCAGAAACAATAAAATTAATTTTTAGTCATCACCAATCGCCCAAAACAACAAGAATCATAGAAAATGGATTGCGTACTATGAGAAATAAAGAAAAGAATAGTTTTAATTTAGCACGAACATGAAAACGAATAAATTTTAGGTAGTAGTCAGTAGAGTGTTGATTCTTGAAATTATTGATTGTAGGATTTAATTTGTCCTACAGATGTACTTCTAGGACTGTAAACGCAATATTGGCGAACACGGAGTCTATGGGAAAGCTATAGCCAGAATAAGACCAATTTTGCTTTAAACTTGATCTGTTTCTAAACATAAAAACAATCAGATTAGTACAATGAATTAGGAAATTACAGTTATCAAGTAAAACGAGCAAACGCACCGACCAATATAGCGTGTCTTATGGAAATGAATAAAGATATGAGTCACATCAAGATAATAAGACATTAATGTCCTTGAAATATAAGGTCATTTACAACAAAAAAAGTTTACAGACACGTCAGATCATATCACGTGATGAGCTCTTAAACCACAATTTGATTGGTTAGTTATAACATAACTACAATTAGTTATGGCAATAACGAACATTGATAAGA